GTCAAATTGAGTCGAGTTTAAAATTTATATAACTCGAATCAAGTCGAGTTGAAAGATTTTATAAAATAAATTTGACTTGACTCGACTCGAAAAAAATGAGTTAAATAGAGTTGATCTTTAAACTCGACTTGACTTGACTCATTCAGAACTCTACTATTTATTATATTATATTCAAATTTATAAAATGAAATATTTAATGCATTTATAAAAATAATAAATATAAAAAAATTTTATTTATAAATAATTAAATTTTAACTATGTAATAATAATCATTAGAAAAAAAATGAAAACTAAATTTTGATTGATTAATTAATTACAAAATTAGCTTAGAACTAAATTAGTAAAAATTTTCAGATTTTTTTTTTTATTAATATTTTTTTATATAATGATAGTTAATTTTGTTAATAATTAAAATTAATAAATTAATTTTATCTTTAAAATCATTTAATTTTCTTAGTATTTGTATTTAATTTTATAAAGTCAATTTATTCTTTATATTTGTTATATTTTTATTATCAAATATTTGTATATTTTATATTATTACTTTTATTTTTATTTACATTTATTACATTAATATTTTTATTTTATATTTGTCACAAAAGGTATTGTTAGAAAATAATATAAGTTAAAAAAGTCTTATTATTCTCTAATTATAAATTTGATTATAAATTAAGATTATAATTATAATAATTATATAATCATTTAGGTCTCTTTTAAAATATAAAGTTTTAAGCTAAATCTTACCATTATTTAATTGATTGTTTCAGTTCACTTAATCAAAAGTTTGAATAATAAAAAACATTATATTAAAAAATAACAAATAATAAAAAAAAATGCAATTTTTTTAATACTTTTTTTAAAGATGTATTCTATTAATATTAAACCTTTTTTGGACAAAGTTACCGTTGCGAAGTTGAATCAATGTCTTATGATCACGTGAGATTAAGTATCGGAAGGATTGGATCGGAGTCAATGTTCATTTTACCCAGATTAGGTCAGTAACACCTGTTCTGATTAAATAAATATTTTCTCGACTAAATATTGTAATAATTACGGACAACTCAATATGTCTCAGGTTTCGGAAGGTCAAGGTGAACATTGTCCACTTTGCGCTAATAAACAACGACTAGTACCACTTTGGTTCCAAGAAAGCACCGAGACGTGGATAAAATGTGATTTATGTCAGGTCTGGTGTCATGCGAGTTGTCTCAAACTTCCTTCCGAAGAATGTGATAGAATTGATGAATATCATTGTCCAGAATGCACAAAATCTTATGGTCCTAGTATTTGTAAGTAAATTCTTTTTATCTGATCAAAGTTTCCCTTCTTCATTGAAACTAATTGTAATATCCATTCTACCAAAATTAAATGCATATAAGATAAAGTTGGCATAAGGAAGTCTCAACGAGAACATTCTAAAGTCAATTATGCTGATTTAGAAAATGGTTTAACCGGCAATCCTTATAAATGGAAACGTGTTCTTGATTCAAAATTGTTCCAAAAACACAAATTCCGAAAGGTACGTGGCGAACAGCTGACAATAGATTGGATACGTTGGTTTGGTCTTGAAGAACCTATCATTATCGAAAGTTCCGATGGCCTTGATATGAAAATGCCCCATAAGGACATCACAGTTAGCGAAATTGCCGAAGCTGTTGGTACGTTTATTGTATGTTTTAGCCGTAAATTAATTCATAATATTAAAAATCCATATATTAAAACATTCATTAGGATATGACACTCCGGTAGATGTAATAGGTAATATTTAGTTTCATGCGATATTAAAACAATTCTGTATTATATTGATATATCTTAATCCCTTTGATAAAAAAAAAAAGATGTTTCTACCCAACAAGAAATTCCTGATTGGAACATGTATAAATGGGCTACTTATTTCGATGGTCCTAAACGTGACCAGGTTTTAAATGTAATTAGCCTAGAAGTGAGCGACACATCCTTTGGTAAATCAATAGTCCGTCCACGCATTGTAAGGTATGATAATATATATCAATTACTTCATTCATTACTCTCATATTCGGTGCGCGCATTTCCTAGTTTATAATGATATTTCTTTGATGTTTATCTAAGAGAGCTTGACTGGGTCGAGAACATGTGGCCCTTACATACGAAAAATATCGAATATCCTAAAGTTCAGCTTTATTGCCTTATGAGCATTAAGGATAGCTTCACTGATTTTCATATCGATTTCGGTGGAACGTCCGTTTTTTATCATGTCATAAAAGGATCAAAAGTATTTTATTTTGTTCCACCAACGCCATCCAATTTAAAAAGGTATTCTAGATGGATATCCTCACCAGAACAATCCATGACCTTTTTTGCTGATTTGGTCAAAGATAGTTATGAAGTGAAATTAGTTGCTGGTAATACCATGTAAGAAAGACAATGACTTTATTAACAGATGAATCTTATTATTTTTATTTTTTTCCATTTTTTAAAAAATAAAAAAATTTATTGAACTTTACATTCTTATTTAAATACATCAGGATAATTCCTACCGGATGGATTCATGCAGTATATACGCCAGATGATTCGATAGTCATCGGGGGCAATTTTTTACAGGGGTTTAATATTAGAGGTCAATTGGCAGTTTATGATATTGAAAAACGTACTAATGTCCCGATAAAATATCGATTTCCATATTTCGAGAAAATGTGTTGGTATGCAGGGAAGTATTATAATGAGATACTTAAAGGTATTAAGAGACGATTACCATTTTCATTTTATTTATTAATTTATTTTTTTAAAGGTATCATGTTAATCGAATGAATTTATTACATTTCTCCAGAGGATCCATTATCCTTATCTCAATGGGAGTTGAAAGGTATAGTAGATTTAGCTTTATTTTTACTTGACTTAGCCGGTAGATTTGGGTCAGGTAATGAATCAACGACAGAAGAACAACAATTAATAAAGGACAATATTCCGGAAGAAATATCTGATCCTACAAGGCTAACGAAAAGGTTGAGTAGGAGAATAAACAGAATAATCAGCCAAGGTAACGTGGATTTTGAAGAAGAATTAGAGGACAAAAATCATAATTTAAAATCACGTAGTGATAACAATTCCGGAAAAGCGTGGGAAAATTCTGTAAGTGGTTCCACAAAAATCAAATTAAGAGTTAAGAGACGAATTGTAGATGAAGATCATGAGAGAAGGGTTAAATGGACGAAAACCAATAATTCCGTTCCGCCGCGACCGTCACCATATAATTATAGTATTTATAGTTATGATGAAAATGATCGAGAATCATCAACTTCACCGACCCCGGAAGAAATAGTAAGGGTTGAACAAATAATAAAGGAAAAAATTCGCGAGTTTGAGAAAGAAAAGTTACAAAAATTGGAAGAAACAGAAAAGTTTCATTGGGAAGAGATATAATGTCGTTAATTAACAAAGAAATTTTGGAGAAATCTGCAACAAATTGAATTATTCAAATCGGTAAATAAATAAGAATGATTTATTGATGTAAATAGATTTAAATTTAAATATAAATATTTTATATCATATACACGTGAATGAAATTTTAATATTACAGTAAAAATATTATGTTAATAAAATATTTATTTTATTTTAATTTTTTTTCTTTTTGCAAAATTGCAAGTACGGTATAGCATTGATTTAAGGATTTTATCATTCGAGTTTGGTCTTTTAATGAACTTATTCATAATTATAAAATTACAATAGCGCAATAAGGCAAAAAATGGTTGGATTATTTTAATAAATAACTTATCATAACATTATTTCAGTTTAATGAGTATTTGGATTATTTGTATGAACATTATTATCATTTTGATTCCAATAATTAGCATCATAATTTTCGATCAAAGTTTGCTCATCTTTATAATGTTTTTGCCATTCGGTGATACCACCTGATAATACTTGAATTTTTTGATCGGGGTTAATATTTTTCGATAATAATTCATCTTGATAAGCTTTTGCGCTATTTGGTCCACGACCTTTTGAAAGACCACATGTGAATATAATTTGTGGGACTATCAAACAAGATTTCCAATTAGATGCAAAATTAGAAAGAAATTGATTATAAGGAAAAGAAAGATTATTATTTACCTTGACTGTAATCGGAAATTAATGAATCAAGACTATCTTTGATAGTTGCCGAAGGTTTATTAATACAATTTGGGATGTTACCACCCTAATAAATTATTAAATTTATCAACATAAAGGGAACCTTATAATATTCAAACAACCTTATTTAACTTTATTATTTACCACATAATCATCATCACGAACATCAACTATCAAATAATCCTTTCCTACTTCTTTGGTCTGAATTATCTCACGTAATTGTTCAGACTTGATAAATTCAAGTGTTGGAAATTTTGATTCTGTTGTCATTATTTTCTTTTATTGATAATTATAATTGAAAATTATTAAAAGCGAGATTACCAATTAGTTTATATAAATAAAAAAAAAAAAATAAATAAATAAAAAATAAGACGTGATTTTTGCTATTAATTTCGATTCCAAAATATTTATTATTTGTGATAAAAAGGGAAAACCCGATATTATTGTTAAATGAGAGATCATCGAGCTATTCATCACGTGATATCTCAAATTTATTTAATTTATAAACTACGTCATATTATCATTTACTCATTTGCTTAATGATGCGGCTTTTGCTACAAAGGCCTTAATCTCTCCCAGAGGTTTTACACCGATGAAATGGTTTATCGATTTACCATTGTGGAATGCATATACTGTTGGAAGTGATGTGATCTAACGATAAAAGGTTCCTTATTAGCTTGAATGACGAATTTTTCTTTCTGATAACAAGGAAGTTACCTTATATTTTGCCGCGAGATCCGGGTTTTCATCAGTGTTAAGTTTTACGAGATCGACTTTTTTATTTTCTTTCACAACTTGTTCAAGGATAGGCGTCAACGCCTTGCAAGGTCCACACCAACTAAGAAAACAAACCAATTAAATTAAATACTCGATAATCAGAACAAATAAGAATCAGATTGTTAGAATTCAAATACTATGTACATTTTGTAATAAATGAATCATATTTCCTTTTCGGAAACTTACTCTGCGTAAAAATCGACTATAACGGGCCCTTTCGCTTCTATAACCATCTTGTCGAATGTATCATGATTACCGTCCAGAATTTGTCCAGAACGTCTTACAATTGAGCTATGAAAGAAAGCGGGTGAAACCCTTCGTGCTACTTGATTAATTTATTGGTTCTGGTTATTATTTAATAAAAATTGAATTGAATCGAATTAATAATTATAAATGTCCAACCACAAGCAAGCGTAGGACGGATAAGCCTTTGGTTTGTAAACATTTTGAACTAACTTCCTATGAGAAGAGAACGATGATACTTCAATATTACACAAGGTTTAACTTATATTTATTTCAGCCAATCAGATTTCTTAACTATCAATTACATTGCATAAAAAAAAAAAAACGCGGAAAAATAAATTTCATTAAAACCTTTTTTTTTTTTTTTTTTTTTAATATGCGTTTGATAACTCATAACATGCTTCAATGCCATGCAAAAAACTGCAATTCAAACAATTATCCCTTGCAGCTTTCTAAGGTCGAAGTCGTAAATCAAGAAACAGAATTTAATCCAATGTTCTTACGAAACATGTTGCCAAAGTTGGAATGGAATGCTTTAGTGAAAACAGCATTTCAGGTAATTGATTATGTTTTTCAACATAAAATTTGAAGTTATTGTACGAATTACATTAACTTTTTAATTTTTCTACTAATGCAAAGGAACAAAATTCTTCGTAGGAAATTTAACTACTACTAATCGAATCTTTTTATCGTTTCTTTTTAAATTATTTGCAAAACCTTAGATTAATGTCACATTACCTAACGCTTTACCAGAGTCTTCCACTGATGAATTGGACGAAGAGTTTCTCAAGACTTTACATAGAGTCTTATTAGAGGTATTTTATTATTTGTTTAAAAGATTTGTTAAACAACTTATTAACTCTTAATTTTGTTTACTTTACAGACACATATTCAGCAAGGACAAATGACTTGTCCTAATTGTAATCATGTCTATCATATAAAAGATGGAATACCAAATATGTTGCTAGACGAAACTGAAGCTTAACATGCGTTCTTGCGCGTAAATGATACATACTTTTTAACCAAAGGAAAAAAAGGGTTTTCTTTGTAGATCGCGTTTTTTTTTTTTTTTTTTTAGCGTAATTATTGTTGAGTGAAATTATATATTGTGTAATTATTATTATTTATTATTTATTTTGGGCTAAAAAAAAAAACTAGCTCATATTAAAAAAATAAATGATTTTTAAATCCTCATCGGTGCTAACTAATTACAGAAAGGAATTTAGTTTCATTGGTTACTGTAACTAGGTTTTATTATGTGAATGCTCACAGAATTATATAACCATTTTAATTTAATTATTACTTTGCCTCAAAACCAGTGAATTAGGATACGCGAACAACGTTTTTTTATTTGATTGGATATAACTTCATCTGATGAATTTGAGTTTGTGCGACAATCGATTTTATAATTAGTGTTAGGAATTCTTGACTAAAATAATTTTATTGAAAAATCAAATAATTTTCCGGGGGCGTGGAAGACATCGGATACAGGGAAGAACGTTCACAATTAATGTGGCCGAGAAGTTTCGGGTACACAACGACTCGACTACTTACTATAAAATCGGAATCAACTTCCCAACTTTTTGTCGCAACCACTAGAGAATAAAAACTGTAAAAATGTAAGTATTTGCGTCATCATCGTCAAGAATCAAGAAGAACGTTCGCAGTCGTTGTGACTGTGGCCACGAGGAGCTTTCGATTCATTGGTTCGTGTATCCTATTTACCATTTAAAACTTCCACGAATGTGGAAGACATCGGAAACAGGGAAGAACGTTCACAGAAAGAACAAAAACACTCTCAGTAGCAA